ACCTTTCTCTGAGAGATTCGCGACGACCTAGGTTGTATATAGCTCTGACGGCGCGCTTCTGCAAGACAAAGATAGACTCAATGTCAGCAGCGTGTCCCCACAGCAGAATGCCATACGACATGATGCCAGTCTTGCCGTGTCTATATCGGTTAACTGACGAATTTTCCAGACAGCATAAGCTGCAGAGCTTAATCGTCCCGCTAGAGATGTAATATGAGGACCCCATTGTAATTTGTCGTCTACAGTAATTCCTAGGAAAATAGTCTCTTTTACAAATTCCAATTTCTCACTATTCAGTAATATGTCACATTCGTTATTTTTAACGTTTGGCAAAACAAATCTAATGCATTTTGTCTTTTTATCATTCAGCACTAAATTATTTATTTGTAAACCAGTTTTGAACCTTCATCAGAGCATTATTTACATCGTCATAATTATTTGTACGTCTATTTATTTTAAAAACCAGTGATGTGTCATCAGCAAATAATACCATCTGTGGTTCATTCCGGAATAAATGCGGCAAGTCATTTATATAAGCCAAAAATAGGAAAGGGCCTAGTATTGAGCCAAATATTGACACCGACGACGATATTGCCAATTGAAGACAAATAACCCAATAAAAAAACATAAACAAAAAAAGAAATAAATTAGGAACACAGTTTTCAATTCAAGTAGGTACTTACTCACAAAAAAATCGTTCTCATTTAGATACTCAGTCAAAGTATCTTTTTTAAATAAAGATAGCGGATTGAATAAAAACCACCTTCCTTCCTCTTATCCTTTGTCCTACTAATCGCAAATTCGCAATACTTATATTTTCGGAAACCAAAACACAATTTGTCCTTGACCAGAGGGCTGGCTATTTCTTCAGAGAGCTCATTTGCTCTGCCATCGAAAGTGGCAATGCTGCCAGTCTTCTGGGAACGTTCCCCGGTGATAGTGATGCAGACGAATACTTTGACGTCTAAGATTATTTTTATTTGTCGGAGCCGCGGAGGACTTACCTAACGGGTTACCGGGGCTCCTGCTCGAAGTGCAGGAGTAGGAACGGGGTGGTTTTAAGTCAGTAAAAGTCTGACACTCCCTCTCGCTTCATCCGGGTGGGTTGAGTCATTGAATGATTTTCGACCCTTAAAAAGGGTATATTTGTGTTTATTATTCAATCTTTTTTATTCATTATTTTAGCTGTAGTTAATTTTAAGTTATACATAATATTCATGCAGTTCTATCTCCTTTTGTAAAGTTATTCACGTAGAATTCTTAAATAAAATTAATATATGACTTATAAAATTGAGCAGCTGACAAATATAATTTAACTTTTGACTTATTAACAGCAGATTACAAGCATTGTACTCAAATAATGCGTCATTGTTATTTTACTCACACCCTGTAGCCGCCCCGCCCACAGATTATACAAGTTTGACACAGATACTGCACATCTGTCGGTATAGAGAATGCTGTTTTATTTTTAAATGGTGTTTATGCTTTGACATATTTAACGGAAAGTATGGCTGTAAATGGCGAAGATTACCGCCGTAATCGATTTCTGACGTATTGTTGAGTGATGAGTGGTTTTGGTAGCATTGTGCTACACATAGAAAGCCGTATTTTTTTAAGGGGGGAAATTCATCGAATGACTTCTCCCGCTCGGGATCGGTGAGGTGGGAGGGAGTGTCAGACTCTTACTGACTAAAAACCACCCCGTTCCTTCTCCTGCACGTCGAGCCGGAGCCCCGGTTACCCGTTAGGTTCTCCGCTACTCATAGAAGGCCGTGTAAAGGCTGAGTGGACTACACACTTTGTCACCACTCCTATTCCTACCGTAGAGCTGAAAAACGACTGAAATTAAATCAGTCTATCTAAAATCTTTGAAAAAGGATCGACCTTTTAACCTTCATTTATTATGACACTAGCGCCCCGGCTTCGCACTGGTGCAATATGCATGTATTATACATATAAACCCTCGTTAAGAACCACTCTATCTATGAAATAAAACCGCATCAAAATCCGTTGCGTAGTTTCAAAGATCTAAGCATACATAGGAACAGACAGACGGCGGATAGCGACTTTGTTTTATACTATGTAGTGATGGAGTACCTGTCAAAAAGTTCATTTTGAATTATGATTGGTTAAAGTACAAGTAGCTAAAGAACTGCACAGCTATAACAGACTAAACCGGGTAGCAGCACTCTCTGATAAACCTGAACCTTTTACATTCAAATGTTCCGAGCCATGCTTCGGCACGAATGGGCCGGGTCGACCGGAGTGATGATGATATGAGTGACCACGGCTGAGCAGAAAACTCGACGCGACGTAAAACAACACTTGCGTTGTATTTCGTCGTTTGACTAAGGTTACAGGAGGTCCAATAACCCCCCCTCCCTCCTCTCCTCCCCAGTCTTTCCAATCCCTGAATACCCCACAATCGTCAATTTTTTTTTAATATATATTACATGGGACTGACTGATATAGAATTCCCAATTAATGACTCCCAATTCCCAAAAGGTAACGCACTTGTACTTAACGCCTCTAGTGTTCCGGGCGTCGGTGCGACGCCGATTGCTTACCATCTGGTGATCTGTCTGCTCGTTTACAAGAGTCAGCTAAGTTAAGTTTACGCAGTCAAGAGACGAGTTATCGTTATCGGCACAACATTTTTGGAACATCGGCTTCTGAAATTCTCAGTAAATTACAATTCACGCAGTTTCTAATTGAGGCATGGCAGCTGGCTAAACCAACGGCAAGTACCAATGTGACATTTTCCGAGTTATATATACTTTCTAAGATTATTTAGACACCACTGACAAACGGTGAAGGAAAACATCGTGAGGAAACCTGGGCTTATAATTTCTAATTATAAGTTTGAAATCGCCAACCCGCATTGAGCAAGCGTGGTGATTAATGCTCAAACCTTCTCCGTGTGAGAAGAGGTCTTTGGTCAGCAGTGGCCACTTATTGGCTGTTGATGATGAGCTGGCATAAAAGTGTCAGTTACGTTACACTTAATATATTTACTTACCACTGCCGACCCCTTTAGATATTGTAAGGCGTGATGTTAAAGTCGCCATCCATTACTAGATAGAAAAATGCCACAAAGAGCTGTAAGGGAAATATAGACTTTAGAAGAATGCAGTAAGATCGAAATTGGTTTGTAATAGTTGTCCAAAGAAAGAATTATATGTTAGACACGCCCCTTACAAATATAGGGTGTCTCTAATGTAATTGATTTTTGAGATATTATCGAAATAAAGATAATAAAATTGTGTCTGATATTATGTACGATGAGAGATATTACGCTAGGACTAATAAGATTACTAATTTGATTATTTGACTGCCTCGTTGGCCGAGTGGTCGCAAGTGCGACTGCCGAGCAAGGGGTCTCGGGTTTGATTTCCGGGTCGGGCAAAGTACTACTGCGTTTTTTTAAATGTTCTCAGTAGTAGCACGGAGTCTGGAATTGTGCCCGGTATATGGCAATAGGTTCAACTCCTATTATATGGGACTTATAACAATAATAGTGAAAAGTGGGTGTTAGATTATACAGTGGCATTAAGTGCCCTAATGTGCAGCTCTGCCTACCCTTTCGGTGATAAAAAGGTGTGATGTTATGTTATGTTATGTAATAGTAAGTGTGAGAGTATAAGATTTGAGTCAGCAACCATAGGTGTAGCAGCCATAGGCTCAGGGCGGGCAAACAGTCTGAAATTATTTATGTAACCAACTAGCAAACCATACCCGCGCGCGCCACGGTATTATCCTAGTTAATATTTTCATACAAAAAAATAATACAAATGCTAAGTATTATTATAGCATTCAAATAGGTTTTACCTTATCTGACAGGTCTGATCCAGGGTGGGGCAAGTACCCCACCGTGGTTTCTTCGCCCATGTCAGCAACATGTTAATAAACACATAAAGCATTCGTTCTGATACTTCAGTACATAATTAGGCTTTTTTTAATGGGCGAAAATCATCGAATGACTTCTCCCGCCTGGGTGAAGCTGTAGGGAGTGTCAGACTCTTACTGACTATAAACCAACCCGTTCCTACTCCTGTACTTCGAGCCGGATCTCCAGCAACCCGTTAAGCCCTCCACAGCTCCGTATCGGCATCAGCTCTATTGCGCCCCAACCGTGATGGTCTGATGGCGCTTTGAGGCGCGCGCGGAACGCGTCGCGCTGAACGCTCGGTCTAGTTCTGGCGAGCCACCCATGCTCGCCGTCCGCAGACCCGTACTTACGGTAAATAATTAGGCTACGGCAAATTTTGATTAAGCAGACTGTACGTAGGTACAGCACTTTAATGGTATAAAAAGAAAAAAAAACAAGAAAATATGATCACACATTATTTAATAATCGATATAATAATTTGACATAATTATAGGCATTGCTTTTATTACAGTTTAAATATAATACACATGTTAAGTTATTTATTAATAATACTACTGATCACTGTAATCTTTTGAAGCTTGAGTTTATAAGGTTTTAGGTCATTTATGGCGTTTTATAAATATAAGACCGAACGTTGTTTAGGTAACCCACGTACACCTTTTTACTTTTAAAAAACAAAGAAAACTCTTGTTTAATGAATAAAAACACCAATCAAATGGGTCCATAGAATTACTTAACTCTACAAAATTGAAGATTGCTTGAGAAATTGGGTTTTAGCAAGTACTACGTTTTTGACATGGCTTCTATTGATTTTTTCAAATAGTTTGTTTCACGATATTCAGAATTTGGATTGACATTGGTTATTCAATAATTTCAGCAAAAAAACCTTAAAACTCAAGCTCCAAAGAACGATTGGTCCATTAACAATAATTAGCTCGGTCGGCCATTTTGAAAATGTCTCAGATTTACTTGATTCATGGTCGTCATACGTCCAGGCATAGAAACGTCAAACATAGAGCTGCGACCATTCATATTCGGTTCCCTATCCAATCGATTATTCGAATCGATTTTTGTTGCACTTAAAAATGCTGACGTTTGTGATTGTAGGAGGCTACCTGGTAGTGGCTGCTGTCTTTCTAATCGATATTGAAGATTCTGTTTCTCCATTTGATGGTGTTGAGTTCGAATCGCGAATCTGTTTACGTGAACTGGTATGGGTACGACTATTTTGGTGCCCGAACCATTTTTGCTTGAGTGACTCCCGGACGCGAGGCCCGCTTTGACGCGTTTCCATTTCGCTCGACGATTTTGGAACCATATTTTTACCTGGGGACAAAAGATTAGAGTTAATTAGTTTAGGAAATTGAATATTTAGAAGGATGCTAATACATCAAATTTGTAGCTTTGCGAAAAAGCTGGTAGAGATAATTAAGTGTTGCCATTTTTACAAAATTTAAAAAAATACGTGTTTGAAGTAGCGTCAGTTGCGTAATTTATGATCACTAGAATAAAATGATGATTAATGATATTTCAGTAGACAAAATTCATTTTACATTTACAAAGATAAAATACGACCTAAGTTAAATCTTAAGACAAAATATTTAGTCGAGATTTTTTGATATTTCCCATCAACTGTTTACGGGAACCCACTGCAATAAAGTCCCCAGATTCACCTGTATATATGTGTTGGTGCGCGATTATCTCGGGATTGAGTGAACCGATTCGATTACCGGGTCGGGCAAAATATTACTGGGTTTTTTTTTAATCTCAGTAGTAGCACGGAGTCTGGAAATGTGCCCGGTATATGGCAATAGGCTCACCCCCTATTACATATAGCTCATAACATAAATAGTGAAAAGTGGGTGTTACATTGTACAGTGGCATTAAGTGCCGTAATGTGCACCTCTGAGATAAAAAGGCATGATGTTATGTTATGTCTTTTTAAAGAAATTAATTATGCTTTTGTTCTCACCTGAACTTCACTAAGTTTCAGAGCTGATGCTATCTGAGACCTCTCAGTGAGACTCAGATACTTCTTGGCGTGAAACTCTCTCTCCAACTCGAGGAGCTGTTCCGATGTGAAGGCAGTTCTTCTTCTTCTTGCTTTACTCTCTCGTGCTGTGTCTGTCGAGTCTTCTTGGTCTGGCTCCGAGTCGTTTCCTGGTGGAAGAGGATGAGAGTTAGTCTGTGTTATTAGGTATCACTATTTATTGGTCGGCATCGCGATTTTTTTTTATTTGATGGGTTGATGTTTGACCATTATCTCGCCTGGTGGTGTACGATGATGCGGTCTACGATGGAGCACGTCGTCAAATAAGCAATCTATTCACTCAGGCCTTGAAGACACCCAGGTTATAATTATATACCCTTCAGGAAATACAGACTCTGGCAAAGAATTCCACTCCTTAGCAGTACGCACAAGGAAGCTTGATGCGAAGCGCTTCGTGTGTGTGGGTGGGACATCTACCATGTAAAAAAGACTTATTTATTTTATTTTGTACTAGCTTTTATCCGCGGCTTCGCTTGCGTCATAAAAGGATAAAAAGTACCCTATGTGACATATACCAATACACACAGCGCCATCTATACCAATACTTTTGTTTTTCCTCGGAAATATCAATTTTTTCCGGGATAAAAAGTACCCTATTATTTAATCCGGACTTCTAACTTTACGTCTGCAAAAATTCAAAGCAATCGGTTTAGTAGTTACGGCGTGAAAGTGGAACAAACAAAGAAACTCACTTTCCGTTTTATAATATTAGTAAGGATAAGTGTTAGTGGTGTTTCTGGTTTAGAAAATTATTTTAAAATGCTTGTCTTTGATTGACAATACAAAACTGTTAAAGGCAAATCCTCTGCGACTGCGAAAATGTCACCAGCAATGACGTTTGTCGTCTTTCCTACAAAGTTCCGTTTTTGCCCAAGTCAGCTATACCAGTAATCATAGCATTAAAATAGCATTTCACATCACATCAACAGTCTATAAGTGGCCACTGCTGACCGAAGGCCTCTTCTCACACGGAGAAGGCTTGAGCATTAATCACCACGCTTGCTCAATGCGGGTTGACGATTTCAAATTTATACCTAATGACAAATTATGAGTCCAGGTTTCCTCATGATGTTTTCCTTCACCGTTTGTCAGTGGTGTCTAAATAATCTCATAAAGGACATATAACTCAGAAAAAGTCACATTGGTACTTGTCTTTGGTAGGTTACGGATCCACGCTTTCATGCATGAGAAGCGGGCGTCTAAACCTTCGGGCCATCACGGCGAATTAGAGGTAATAGCGTTTATTGTTAATTAAATAACAGAGAAGTATTGTTGAAAATATAAACTGATAATCCTACTCAGTCACTTGCAAAAGTCAATAAAAAGAACAGTCGAAAAATACACTAGAATCTAACCGAAATAATTATGCGAGAATCCCTATAACAATGGGAGATGGGCGTGACAATATTTAACAGTGATACCGTACAACGATTAAATCCAATCGTTACATTTAACTATTATCCCTGCAGTAACTGTTATCCATTACAATACTAACTGCACTGTTGTTAAAATAACAATTAAACATGTTTTCTATACTGACTAATGTGTAGGGGGCGTGGTTGTCGCATTAGGGTGCGTTAAGCGATACGTGGTATAGTTTTAAAAGGGCTTAAATGCAATTGTGTGTTCTTTTTAAGTTACTGGGAGCTTTGGGTATTAAAGGATCACCTTTTGGAGATTAATATTATTAGTGTTGGTGAAGTAATTACATAATGTGTCCTTTTTTAAATAACGATGAAAAAAATATTATTTTAGTTTACGCATGTCACGTGATGCACGATCAAAAACAGATATTACTGCATTATATTATTATTAATACTGATATTAAAGCAGTATAGCTTAAACTATTCATTTTTTAATAGAATAATATGTCCGCTGACGATTTTCTACTTACGGCATATCCATTTCCAATAACTAAATAACAGATTGAATATTTAAAAAACATAGAAACAATTAAACCATGACACCCCAGAGACATAATCACTATCTTGAATCCAACTTAAAAAATCAGAAGACTTGTTTCAATGGATGACCAAAACCAGAAAAGAATAGAATATAACTTTATTGTACACCATTAATAATATAGTACTACATACAGAAAAGGAAATGACAAACAGTTATTCATAGCATAGTTACTTTCCATTTCTATTACATCTTATTTGCAGACTATATAGCTATTTAGGGCTAAACATACCTTATCTCAAATCAATTGATCAACACGCAAAACGAAAATCAATTGCGCGAAACCCTAATCGGCATCCATGCAACCAACCACTAAAGTAACACTGCAGTTAAACTAAAAGATATCGCAATAAAATCGACTAAATAGACCATAAAGCTTCGACCGCCATTATAGAGCAGAAAGCGCGGGAAATGGGGAGTCAAATGACAAATAGTTGCGTTGACAGTCACAGACATATTATCGTTTAATAGTTTTCGCATCTTTTCTGTCCATTGATTTTGTAAATTATTGTTTTTCAATGGTAATTTTAATGTGTTTTTTTAAATTCATGTATGGTTTTTAACATAGAGTTGCCCTTTTATATATAATTGTTTTTTTTTTAATTATATGCTGCAAATGAACGGTATGGTATAGTTTCCTAAATTTTATTTTAATGTCCGTGGTATGTTAATTTAAAACTTTAGACACGTATTTTTCTTTTCTCACAAAATCAAATACTTTTGACGATATATTAATCTGAAATATTGTGCCACATTTTGTAGCACGTTATGACGTAACGACCTCCCACTCCTAAACTTAGCGCCATTTTATCTAAGTATTGCAACTTAATACGAGAAAATAAAACAATACGTGTCTAATATTTTTTCATTATCCAACTGACGGACTAATTACATTTTTAATTTTGATACCCTGGAGACAACCCAATTGTATTTGTTAACGCACACACAATGTATGAAAATCCTTATTTTAAGAAAATATAGAAGAAAATTGTTTCTCGCCTTTTTTGAAAGGGAATACTCGCATACTGAATCTAACTGTAGTACACACGGCCACACATCAATCTATACAAAACCAGTTTATCCTGGTGTCGCGTCGCATCATCTTTCCGCACAATTAACGTTCAGTTTATACTGGTTATGTAAAGCTCGATGTGTAGCCGTGTGTACCAAACAAAACTAACTACTTCACAAGAATCTCCCCGTCCGTCCATCAGTTCACATCAACAGCGATGCTCCCTCAGTTTTTGCTCAGTCATAACCCCGGGATCCCGGTCAAATGGCCGATAAAAAGTCCACATGCCGAGTCAGCGCCACGCCCAACATCGGACAAATCTAATCATTAGATCGTCGGGGTGAAGAGAAAAGGGCGAGCCCCAATTGATGTGGTTTGAAGACTGGATTTTGTAACGAGATTTCTTCAAAGTGGAATATATTTTCTGCTACCGCTTCTCTTCCCGCGGGTATCGTAAAAGCCAACTTAGAAAGCAGCGATCTCTGATAAACCTGAACTTTTTGAACTGCGATAACAAGCATAAAGAAGGATATTACGGCAAATCCTTTTATATAGAGGAGGCTCAAACTAAAATGTCACCGCTGTTGATGATAATTTTTTTAGTACTATCGTCCGTCCAATACTGGTTGGTGAGGTAACTTCGTAGGAGTAGACAAGATTCAAAACTGTTTAAAATTAAAAAGAAAATAATAAAGGCAATCTAATACTCCAATCTGCTTATTTTTTTTTACTCTGTAGACTATCCTACATATAGACCCTATTACATGCCTCGTTCGCCGAGAGGTCGCAAGTGCGGCAAGGGGTTCGATTCCCGGGTCGGGCAAAGTATTACTGGGTTTTAAAAAAAATGTCAATAGTACTACAGAGTCTGGAATTGTGCCCGGTATATGGCAATAGGCTCACCCCCTATTATATGGGCCTCATAACATATAAATAGTGAAAAGTGGGTGTTAATAATAATGTGCACCTCAGCCTACCCCTTCGGTGATAAAACGCGGGATATTATTGTTATTATCCCCTATTACATGAAGATCAAAACATAGCAGGTGAAAATTTGTCATTCATACATTAGAATAAAAGGCGAGGCCTTATGTGATGGTAATATTATTCATACATTTCCCATTAACGCTAAAATGTTCGAGTAAACAAATACATCAACAGTTTTTACGCCCTTTAATTCTCAATTCATCAACCATTCGAGGAAAACTGCCAAAGTGACAGAGTGAAAATTTAAACTGAAATACAACGTGACCACAATTTTTACTAAATGTTTATCGTAATCGATACATCTGAATCGACTAAAATGCATTCGAGTTTACAATCGATTTAACTCGCCGCTCGTACAATGTAATTTAAAATTCGATACGCGACTGCGCGGGGCTTTATGCGTCAACAAAGTTATTCGATGCAGACGAACTGGCCGTTTTTCGTTTGAAATTCATTCTTTTTGACAGTAAATATAAGATGGCGGACTTTACAATTCATTTGGCGCTTTCGATAACTGTCAATCGTCGTTCGACTGTGATGAATAAATATATTTATTTGCTATAGGGATCTTTTATCGTGTTTTTCATGGAAAACGTCAGTGCGGTCTGCTTTAAGAAGTCAATGCGTGTTCGTCTGCACGTATTTAGTCGCGTAATTGGTATTTTATTGAGATTTTACCTGAATTTATTATTGCTTTGTCTTTTTTTCTTCTTAGATTTGGATTTGGTAGTGTGACTTCTGTTAGAATTTACGTTTTCATTTCTTTCGTCAACTTCTGGACTACGAACGTCTAAGGAAGGGGATTCCTTGCCGGTATCTGTGTTTCCCGATAATTATAACTTGGGTGTGTTCAAGTCTTAACTCGTCGAGTACCGTATTTATAGACACAATTAAAGAACAATAGGTTGCGGTCACCGGTGACCGCTTGGTGTTTGACAGTTTAAGTGAACACATGGTCGGCCACATCATCGCTTACCACCAGGCGAGATGATGGCCAAACGTCAACCCTAGTATTATATGTATCCCGAGCATACTCAGGGAGCCGTCAGACCACCACAGATGGGGCCCAACAGGGCCGATGCGGATTCGGAGTCGCGGAGAACCTAACGGGTTACCAGGGCTCCGGCACGACGTGCAGGAGAAGTAACA